TCGCTTTGCTGAGGCTATGCGGCTGACCAGATACGTACGTAAACCCTCCTGAAGAGAAACACAGTGTTGTGGCCAACAACAACAACAACAACAACAACAACAAACACGGCTCGGTTGAGCCGTGTTGAGGGTTAGTCAGTTTTCTTAAGAAGTAATAGGCGCGGTAGGGGCATGCAGGCAATCATTAGTTATATAGTTATACAATAATGAAAAAAAATTAAAGACACCTCTCCGTATATCATAATAAACCGTGACGATATCAGCAGCAACAGCATCAGCAGCAGCACCACCAATCCCCAGCACCAACCACAACAATCCCATAATCGCAGCAGCGGTAGTCGCTAGAAAACCGTCTCTACAGAGTGCGTGTCTCATCGGTGATCTGATATATCATCAAACGCGCCTTTCTCATCACGATCATTGTTGTTACTTCGCGCGAATTACAACGCGTTCGCGCATATGGTGGCATCGCCACGTGCTAGATTTCAATGCGCAAGCTTCTGTATCCCCGTGCACCTTTTAGGAAAAGAACTCGAACACGAGATTTTTTTTTGCACCCCTATATGTCGACATAATCGACTAGCGATTCTGAATTTGCTCCAGACAGTTCCAGACGTTGGATAGAGCGATATCAGTTCTCCTTCGATTAGTGCAAGGACACATGGATACACAAAGATTAGCACTCCGGGTCATCTCTGTAAACTTCGTTCCCTCGAATAATCTTTCAGTTTTTTTTCAGATTTATCGTCAAAATTGTACAAAGGTGGAAATAATCATAAGATAATTTAGATCGCCTTTTCTGTCAATCAAGTGGTCTAAAGTGTCTCAAGTGTATCTAATTTCATTGTTCGTCGCAGGAGCTTCCGAAGAAGACTGCTTTCTCTGCCTATCGGCTATCAGAACAAAACCTTCTGTGGTTCAAAGAGGGAAATGTCTCTTTCGTGCGATCGATGACGCTGAAACGAGAACGCTGATTGCACGTAATTGCTTAGGACGCTGATTGCACATAATTGCTTAGGATGCTCGCGTATCCAGCCTCCCGTGTTTCTTGACGGTGGGCTTCATCGACCTCCTGCTGCGCAATTTGCGAGAGATCGATATTCCGACGAGATCCGTTTTTGTCGCGAACAAAAAGACAGTCTTATCGCAGGTTCATTGTTGTTGTCTTGTGGCAGGATGAATTACGAATTGGCTCACTAAATGCTCTTCTAAATGCGAAACGCAAACTTCCATACAAGCACTCATCGTTCTCGATACGTTCGTTTTAATTTCTCTTCAATTTGGATCGTGACCTCGACAATGCACATCTACGACAACCACAGAACTATCGGCGAGACACTCGCGTGTCAACGAAACAATTTTCAAGAACAATTCAATATCTTGGAAATAAAAAAATAACAGAAATCACTTGGAAGTAAGAAACTATGTGTTCAACAGGAGTTCTCCTACTCCCAAACTGTAATTGTCCTAAAACTGTTAAATCAATTTCGATCTATTTATCCAATGGCATCTGTTTTTATCTCTTCGCAAGATAAAGATAAGGGAACTCAATGTACCTAATGACTTAGATAGATATCGGAAATTTATTCTTTTTAATATCAAGTCTAGTATCTAATATCACATTGGTTGATTAAATATTCCATATCCAAGGTATCGTATTGTTCGATTAATGTACGATCCGCCGCTTTATACTCATAGATAGATTCACAATCGAGATTCAGTAGGCGAAAAAGACCACGTAACTAATCAACTTCGAAGCGAAACGCAACGAGTCATATTACGCGGAGACGTTAATGATGTTTTACGTAATAACATTAGTACTTGAAAAGAAGGAACAAGCTTTTTGATGTCGTGACTACTAAAAGAACTCATGCTTCTGCTTTAGCGATCGTTGCTAAGATCTTGTATTACCTACCTGCCGAAACACTTATTTCTTTCTTTTTTTTTAATCTTTCTCCGGTCATATGTACTTGTAACCAAAGAATTTCGGGTCAAGATACGTTTACAATCACCAGGCTTATGAGATTCTCGAGGAAAATATGTGTCGATAATCTTCCAAAATCCGTCATTGCTTTCGATTTGTTTTCATTTAATTCATTCGTTTTCATTTAATTTTAATTCGAATATATGTATAGATGCAATTAATTGACAATGAACTTAAACTATTGCATAAAGTAAGAAAGTATAATAATATAAATATAAAATATGAAGATAATTAATTCTCTTTTTATGTGTTTAATATATATTTTATTAATACAATGTCAAGAGAAATTTATAGATGATGAATCGCGCGCGCATCTAAAGTTTCGTTTCTATTATTCCCGTAAGATTCATTTTTCATCCACGTTCTTTCTTTATGAATATATATTTAATAAACAATAAATATTTATTTAATATATGTGTTAAAAATGAAACCATGAATATAAACAGTAAATAATCCGAAAATATCTTACACCTTGGTACAGCTTTATAACTGATGCAATTTTATTCTATTATGCATGCCACATCTTTATTTCCTTTAACATTTCCTTGTTTAATCATGCGAGTCTATTGGCAGGCTTAATCTTTCTAGAATTCTATTGTCCCATCAAGATACTAATATCGAAATTAGAATATCAAAAAACGCCGAAAATGACGGATTCCGAAGGAATATCGATGCAACGAATATTGATCGCTGTATTTCCCATACGCACCCGTTTACCATATAGAATTTTGCTTCATACAAGAAGGGAAAGGGAACTGAATCAAATATCTCAAATTATCAAATATTAAGAAAGGATTGCACGCGCATGCCACTGTCACCAGAGCACCACCACCACCTGACTGCTTCAGAATTAGTTCATATTTGCGCGAATATCTTACGATCTATGTAACGATACATTCTGCAAGTTAATAGAACCCTAATCCGAATACAGCGATCATTATGATCGCAGGAAGCTCGTGATTCGAAGAGTACGTGCGAAATTCGCAATTATGTCCGAGATAATTTTCATAAAATATATATATATATATATAAATATTATTAACTAATTTATTTTTATAATGATAATGATGTAATTATATTGCAATATCATCAATAGAAGATATTATTTTAACATTTTGGGCTGTCAATTAAAAACAAATAAATTTGGATGAAGCTCTCCTCATTCATAAAGTATGAAATTTCTGAAAATATTCGTTATCGAAATAATATTTAAGAGTTTTTTTTTAAAGCATTTCGCTAAAAAAATTAATTGCTATATAAATTATTAAAAGAGTTTCTGAAATCATATTCGATCATATTAATAATAAAATTTCCCAAAATAAACTTCGCCAAAACTTGCAGCAAATACTATAAATTTGACTTGCACTGTTTTATTCTAACATTTAAAAATCAATATACCCGTACATTTAAGATTAACGTTACATGCAAATAAACCATGTGTGTATGTAGTGGGATTCGCGCTATACACACGAATTAGATATTTTTACGAAGAAGTTGCCTTGAACCAGTATCGAAAGGTATTTCTTATTTTAGTATATACACAGAAGTATGCTTACAGTTAGTGCGCATAAGGAACATAGTGGTGGCTTTGATCGAGTTATTAAAAAAAGGAATGTTGATGATTGTCGGCACACATACAGCACTTGGCAATGCTTACTAGTATCTACAGTTCAACCTACACCCGAGTGCCTGTACCATACATTTACATCCAAAACACCATGCACTCTGTACATTGAAAGTAAATCTCGATATAATCGGATGAAAATGAAAGTCTTTTTCCCTGTAGTAAAACAGGGAATGTATCATACATATATTTATCATTAATGTTCAGAAATCTTTTCATAATAAGATTGCAAACCTGATTCCGTTTAATAATGCAAGAGTAATCAGGTCAAAGAGAAAACAATTGACAGTATTTCACAGAATATTGCAAAAACTAATGAAGTTTTAATAGCAATATATGTTATAAGATAAAACGTAATGCCATTTTTATAAAAAGCGTTATCGATTTTTTTAATTTTTTTTATCTTTAAATATGTATTTTGTCATGCTACTAAGAACTAGGTCCACGTGAAGAAAAAATTATGATTAAGATCTAAAATATTCGTTTTCAAATACTCGTTTTGTAAAGTAATAGTAACTAAACGTTTCATGTGTAAATCTTACACTATCGTTGTCTTTGGATTTAATCCTAATCTCTTTCTCTAATTATCATTTGTGTGCGTGTATAAGTAATGCAAAGCTGCATAGCTACCAAACCGTACAGTTTGATGTGAAAACGCAATCAACTAACTACCCCTCAAACTTAATAGATCATAATATCACAATAAAAAGGAAATGTCCTGTCCTTCTTATTATAATATAAAATAATTGTTACAGAATCTTAATCCATGAAACCAAGTAACTCCTATGATACTAATGTTTCATGTATCAAGATGTTTAAAATATTGTTTTGGTTTTGTACCCACAGTACATGCAATTAATCCATCACCACTGAAGTTAGAATGCAGGTTTGTGTACAGAGCAATTTATAATTGAAACTAATGTATAAAATTTCTTATATATAATATTACTATCCAAAATATCAGGTAGATGCATATTTTTAAATATTAAAAGATTGCAAACGTATTGAAGTATGTGGATCATGTGGATACAAAACTTAAAAGTTTGTTGTATTGCCATTATACTGTCGCTATATTACTGTTACTGTATGATAATTTAAATAATTTCTTGAATAGACGATAATTAAATATCAAATTTAAAGATAATTTACTGCGCGCTCCAATATATTACAATCTCCAATTTGCGATTTAATAATTTATTTTTTACATTATAGCTTAAATTAAAAATATTAATTTTCAAACTGATTTAAAGGATTAATTTAAATAATCTATGATTAAATATAATTAATAATTCGTTCAATCTACTGCAATTTCATGTCGTAATTATGTTGTAATGGCAAAACAACATATCATACAATTTATAGATAATAACAAGAAAATAGATAATCACTTACCCTGTACCGCATCCTGTGTTGCTCTCTCTCCCGAAGTGCTTGGTTTAGATAGTAGATGTCCTAACAGACAAAAAAAAAATCATCAAACTGCGCAAAAACTGACAATTAATCAAAATAGATAAGATTGAAAATTGACAACTTATCAAGATAAATTAGGTAAAAAATATTTTAGCAAATTCTAGAAATTATCACATACGAAGATACTTACCAACATCTGATTGATGTTTGCTGTCCAAACTATCAGATGCCGATTGACTCGTGTAAAATGTTTGACTGATGTCGACCTTCTGTTCATGATCAGGCGTGGTCGACGATGTATCGTCTATAGTAATCTTATTCAGGGCATTGTCGCCTATACTCTGATCTTCATAACTACAACTGCTACCATCTTGTTCCAAGTATTCTGGCATCTCCAGCTTTAAGTTCGGCATGAGGGGAATTATTTCGACCGGATCGGAGCCCGGTCCCGTCTGATTTTCCGCCGTTTTCTCGGAATCCTTCGCGTTGATTCCTGCCGAATTCTTCTCCGCGTTCACATTCATATTTTCTCGAATTTTTCTCCTTTTATTTGGCGGCACTTCGGGTTGTAATTCAACGGCATGATATGGCATCGGAGACGACGGGGACTTATTTCTCTTGTTATCCCCCATAGATTTACCGGAAGTGTTCTGCAGTTGAACTTCAGGCTCGTTGGGAATTTCTATGTCATCCTTAAAAGTAATATGACACATAAATAAGATGCTAAATTACAGTGCTAAAATAGTTAGCTATTAAAAAACCAAGTTTCTGAATTTGTTATCCTATACAGTATTAGGATTTTTCAGTAAGAAAAAAATATTTATATTCAATAAAGATATAAATAAAATATTCGAAATATGAACTTAATTAATTTAATTAATTAATTAATTAAGGAAATAAACAAATACTATGTTGTTCTAAAAGAAATTTAAAAAAAAAAATAAATAAATCCAAATCTCCAGAATTGAGGAAGGAATTTATATTTTCTTTCCTTTTTTCAATTAAAATTGTAACAAAATCGAAGACTATAACTTTCAAGCAATTAGGAATAAATACGATAGTGAATTGATGATTCTTTCTAAAATTTATTATAACTACAATACATAAAGAGAGAGAGAGAGAGAGAGAGAGAGAGAGAAAGAGAGAGAGAGAGAGGGAAGGAGAGAGAACTTATAAACATATCATTTTCAGTTGCTTTTCTACCTGAGATCAATATTTCTGGAATTATAAATTATTTTATATACTTTATAATAACTCACTTCTACTAGACTGTCATCCTTTCCTGTGCCGTCTGTAAGACCTTGTACTGCCAAGAGTTCTGCCGTGGTGAGAAAACTTGCTAGTTGCTCTTGAATAACATTCACTTCGCCTTGGTACATGAAATCTACCAAGGCAGCCAAGTCGTCAAATTTTACATTACGAAATATTATGATGGGATGCTGGCATGGATTTTCCTATATAACAAATAATTATTATAAAAATGTCTCTACATTTAAACATATAATAAATGAATCAGAAATATACGCAATACCTTAAATAAATCTCTAAAGTATGTACTACATGCTGACAATAGCATTTTGTGTGCCCTGATTTTTTTGCCTTCGCAACTCAAAGTAACATCCACGAGATCTTCATCTGATCTCAATGTTTCAAAAGCACAAGTAATGTGTTTTAAATAATTGTTCCATCTAAGAGAGAACTGTTGACTGGAACCCATTCTGCTTCCTTAAATATAAAGAGATAAATTTATATTAGATTATGTTTATAATTTAATAATATTCATAACATAAAAATTTATATCATCACTGATTTGAATAAAAATATATAAAACTTTATTAAATGAATTGAAAGACTTGCTGCAATACTGGATTAACGAATATTATATAAAAATGAAATAAATGAATTCCAAAGTTGATGATGAACAAAATACTATTGTAGTTTCACATGTTTGGCTACATTGTTATAGATCTACTATTACAGCAAATCCTTCAAATAAAATAATCAGCAATATGCAATTATTGCATTTACAATTATCTTTATTCCACATTTATTATAACATTGATATTATTATTAGAAAACTATATACAAAAAAACTCAATACTTACAAAAACCATATATACATATATTTTAGAATAATCATTTTTTCAAACACATAACACAAGTATAGATATCATTGTGTAAAAAAAATAAGAGACTCGGACAAGTGAACATAAATCAAACAGTATCTGAAAGGTTATCTAGAATACTATGGCTATCCGATAAAAGTTTACCTTAATTGCCCTGAGGAGTGTAAAACAAGCAAATCGAGAGAACTCCCAAGGGAAGGCCGTGTATCGCGGGGCAAGGAGTATCGGGAGAGCCCCGCGACTGCGACTACTGCGAGACCGATTCGCAAACGGATCGAAGCGGAGGAGGAGGAGGAAGAGGAGGAGGAGGAGGAGGAGGCGGCTGCGGTGGACGACTCCGAACTCGGTCGCGTTACGGTGGCGTTATCGCGATCGCGCGAGCAACAGACTAGTCACACACTTTACGTGAAATAGGAATTGTAAACAGCCAAACTAGCCGCACTTTCGTGGAATTGTGGAAGTAACACCATCGGGGGAGGGGAGGGCCGCCGTACACTTTCTCTCGTTCCCCGCTCTTTTTTTTCTCTTTCCTCTACTTTGTCGCTCGCTCGTTTGTTTCTTCTCTTTTTCCCTCACTCACGACAATCTCGTGTGATCTTAGCCAACGAGCCGCGTGTCATCACAAAAGTACATCGCATCCCCGCGGTGTGTTACGCGCTTAGAGAAACCGTCTCGTGACGAATCCGCGTCGTGTTCCTTCACAACAAGCCACACTTCACAAGCGAATGACAGCTGGCGGCCATTTTCAGTACGGTAATACGCGTATGAGACTATGGGATGTGCGAAGAAGCCTGACCACCCTCCTTCCTGATCCCTTCCACAGCGGAGGCGCGACGAGCGCGATTCGTGTAACGTCACGTGGTATGGTAGGAGCACGATTATTGGCTATACGCAGCAATATTCACTATGTTTCCTTGGAGCGCGAGTTTTAAAGCTCTAGTATATGCATTACTAAAGTAATGCAAAAGTCCTCCATTTTCGACTTATGCCCGTATTTATAATCAGACCTTATATTTAAGGTTTTCTTAAATTTATCTTCAGATATCTTCAGATACTCTACGAATTATTTCATTGGCTACTGAGCATCTGAAGGATCCTCTACATAGAAGTCGTAGACTTCATAGGTCGTGAAGTTTTAAATAGTAGGAACTGACTAATTCTAATCGAGTATTCTCCTTATATTTGATTGTGATTGGTTGGTTTCCTACGTAGAGGATCCTTAAAGATAAATTTAAGGAAGCCTTAAGTACAAGGTCTGACTATGAATACGGACATTACTGTGGTATGGTCTACTTAACAAGGTAAAAAATCCTCGTGTATAATATGTGGCGGAGCGGATCCGTGAGCGCTCGCTGCTATTGGATGATCTAAAAGAATACACCAATAGTAGCAAGCGTTCACGGATTCACTCTGCAACAGTTGAGTCTGTTGAACGCGATCATTAAGCCAGAAAAACACAATGAAAAACACAGGCAATGAAAACAGGGAATAAGAGATTTCAACCTATCAGAAAACATCCATTCTAGTATATATGATTTCTGATAGGTTGAAATTTGTTATTTCCTATTCCTATTACCTGTGTTTTTTATTGTGTTTCTAGCTTTATCTCATGCGCAATTCAGATTTTATACTATTTTTTATAGATACTCATTCTTATCATTACCAGTAGTTATTGTCAGTTATTGTTTACAAATGTGACAACGTGGGCGTGAAATACATAACATATGGAAAATATCAAGTGCCTCAGCACTATAAAATTAAATCGTCACCAATTAATTGACTTACTGATAATATGGATCTGCCGGTAAACGAAGAAAATCTGCAACGAATATTGGACAAATTGTCTGAAGATGAGGTTCGAATTGCTATTATAATATTTGATTATACAATATTTATAAGCAGCATAAATTTCTACGATATATCTCTTTAGAACTAAATGTAAGATTTTTCTGTGTAAGATTTTTCTTTGATATTTTCTCTAGATCTATTGCATTATATGTGAAGAAGCATCATTTAAAAATTTGCCATTATATATTTCATAGAAAAAAATTGTAAATTTTTAGGTTTCTATAAAGAAAAATCTGGATACAATTCTTACTCGACGATGTCACGTGGAAGCAAAACTGCAAAATATTGGCAAGGTACTGCCAAATGTTGTACTGATACGAACAGAAGGAGAAAAGTTTTGTGATATGATCGCTCGTACCAATGAATTAGCTGAAAATGTTAGTGCTAAAGTGAGACAGTTGGACTTAGCAAGAGTATGTCACACTACAATGAAAACATTTTTAGATAAGTCATAGAATTCTCAGTCTTATAAATGCTTAAATTCTACAATTTTATTTTACAGAGCAGAGTATGCGAGTGTCAAAGTAGAATAAATGATATATTAGACTTGCAATTATGCAGTGAAGGAGTAGCAACTGCACTGCGTAATGAGGATTATGAGCAAGGTGCTGCACATGTTCATCGTTATTTAGCAATGGATCAACAATTACTGGAGAGAACAGCCGAAGATGTATCGGGGGATCATACTAGTATTAGCAGTTCCTTGGTTACCTTGCAACAGGCTGCAATGGAATTGAGAGCCGTTGTCACACATAAATTTGACGAAGCTGTGAAATCTGAGGATCTGGCTTCCGTTGAGAGATTTTTTAAGATATTTCCATTGTTGGGGATGCACTTAGAAGGATTAAAGAAGTTTTGCAGTTACTTATGCACTAAAGTATGTAATATTGTGTAAAATTATATATGCTAAAATCTTATTGAGAAGATAACGTTTGATTTTTCATTTTATAGCTACATGAGACTGCACAGAAGAATCTACAAGCAGCACTAGAAATTAAAAGTAATGACAAGAGAGCAGCTGTTATTTTTGCCGACACCATGACTCTCTTGTTCGAAGGGATTGCACGTATTGTAGAAGTGCATCAACCGATCATTGAAACTTATTATGGTCCTGGTCGACTATTAATGACAATTTCAATTTTACAGAAGGAATGTGATAGGTAAAAAATACAATAAACTGCATATCAAATTGTAGACGACCTTCTCTACATATTAAAAAAAAATTAATTTATATTTTTTACAAATAGGCAAGTCAAGAAAATTATTGTAGTATTTACGAAACATAGATGTATATCTAAGAATGTACAAATGATAAATGAGTACTTGCGAAAACCGAGTCCTGAAAGACTTGATCCTAAGGAGCTTGATCTTCTCTTAGGAGAAATTACTATAATGCATTCGAGAGCAGAACTTTACATACGTTTCTTAAAAAGAAGAGTTAAGGTATTTGATTATCGGTATGTTACATAAGAAATTAGCAATGTAGATTCATGTGTTTGTTTTGCAGAATGATATAGAGATCAGTACCACAGATGAGGCGCAACGCACAGAGTTACTTAATGAATTTGAAATGACAATAAACAACTCCGAATTGGCACATGGCATGCAAGAGTTGCTTGGTGCCTATCTTGCATTAGAGAGATATTTTCTCGAGGAGAGTGTGAATAAGGCTTTAGGAATGGATGCATTAGATCCAGATCAACAAACTTCCAGCATGGTTGACGATGTATTTTTCATTGTACAGAAATGCGTACGGTATGTATATTGCCAAATTTATGCATACGATATGTATATTATTGAAAATTATAATGAATATAATGTCTACACAGACGGGCTATGTCGAGTTGGAGTATAGACGGCGTTTGTGCTGTCGTTAATATGGCTTGTGGCATCTTGGAAGGCGAATTTGCGAATAGATTGAGGAACAGATTGCGTCAGGGTTATCCAGCAGGCTACCTGGATCTGGCGCAAGCGTACAGTGCTCTCCAGACAAGTATACAACATGGTCGTTTACAAACGTCAGATACAGAATGCGCCCGTCTTATGTTCTTGGTAACATTTTTTTAATCTACGATTTTACATGTTATTTTCATAACATATTAATATATATTACTAAACAGTTTTATTATACGTTTCTCTGTAATTTTATATTTATAATTATTCATATTTATTTAGGCATACTTAAATAATACCGATGTGAGCACGGAATATGTGGAAACATTATGCAAGAGTCTTGGTGCAGAGATAGACGCAACGTTTCCCAATATGCAAAAAAAGGATAGAGGCAAAATTGACAGTTGTTTGTCCAGTTTAAAGGGAGTTATATTGATTTTACGAGGCATCATCGATTGTGGTCTAGAACAGTTGCGCGTCAGCGCCGTAAAACCTAGAGTCACTCCGTGGCTCGATGCATTTCTATCTATTGATCATCATATCAATGAGGTATATCCTACAAGAATAAATAAACTTTGTGTTTCTAAATGTATATAACGAATGGTTAAATACATAATGAATTCATATGCAGGATGAATTATTGAGATACGAAACAGACGAGCCATTTGTGCAGACATTAATCACAAACCTAGAGGGTCTACTTCGAGGATTTAAGGATAGTTTAACAACTTCCAACTACGATGCACTTATTGGACTTCTAACTGCAGAAGTTACAGCTCGTTTAGAAAAAATAGTTTTGAAATCGACTTTTAATCGGGTACTTATATGGATTTTAATTATTTCTCTTATAATCTTTCAATAGTAATCTATTGGGAATAGTTTTATCTAATTAGTAAATTATATAGTTCATAGTAAAAAAAAAAATATAAAAAAAAATATAAATATAAAAAAATATAAAATAAAAAAATATAAAAATATAAGACAAATATAAGCAATATATATAGTTACGTAATTATAAATAAAAATTGGCTACAAAAATGTACTACTATTTAAATGATTTATATTTCTACTTATGATTAATTAATTGTGTAATATTTTATCAATTTTATCTTAATGTTTTATCTAATTTCTTATAAATATCGATACGCTCACAAATTTAATTTAGTGTAATATAATTTATATCAGAATAAATCTGTATGTTGTAGGCAGGAGGTCTGATACTGGACAAGGAAATAAGATCATTGGCCAGTTACTTAGCAGCCGCCACATCTTGGTCGGTGAGGGACAAATTTGCGCGTTTAACACAGATCGCTACTATTCTAAGTATAGAAAAGATAGAGGAATTAGCCGATTATTGCGGCGCGGACGCGATAGCATGGCGATTAACGCCGTCAGAAGTGCGTCGTATTGCTTCCCTAAGAATAGACTTCCGACCGGAAGACATTAAGAGACTGAAACTGTGACTTGTTACTCTTTGTACAACGCTGCAATATCGAACTATATCAAGCTATGTGCTTGTAGAACATGCATTTGAATACTATGTTTTACATATATGTACATAGAACGATTAATATATGTATTATTTATTACGATATGCAGAAAATATTTGTTTTTTAATCGCTTTAGATCCGATTGCACCAATTTATATAAAATTGATTTTAAACGAAACTTAAAACTCTTTCTCGTTTTAAAATCGAAAAGAGATAGGAACAAAGAGAGTTTTAAGCTTAAAATTAAAATAACGTTGGTATAACCGGGCCTTAGAACATTATTTTTATTTTGAAGCTTATCTTTTTGAACGCTATAATATATTGTGATTTAATTAAATCTTTAAGTAGAAATCATAAAACTGCAAATTGCAGTTTAACAAAAAATATTGCAATAGAAAGAAACAAAAGCCAATTGTATGAACAATGCAAGGATAGTGGTGAAAAAGATTATTAATATAAAATAGAAATTAATTACGATATGTTTCAATTTCACTAACAAGGGATAGTTTCACAACTGTATCCGGCACCGATTTGATTCCCTGTGAAATATGTTGTTAAACATAAAAATCTAAGAGACACATATTTTTATATATATATATATATATACTAACTCATGTTTAAACATCTCTTTGGAAAAAAAAAACAGTATTTTTCTTTCGAGCTGAATACCGGAAATATAAAAGATGAAAAAAATTTTTTAAACAACAAGAGTACTTGAAAGTTGTGAAGAAACAAATTTTTTTTAGTTTTTTGTTTAACAATATATGCCACAGTTTTCTTAATTCTAATATAATTTTTTTTATAGAGTTAAAAATTTTTTTTTCAAATTTAACTATGTATATTAAAGTTATATTATAACATATTTTCGAGAATTAATTATAAAACGTTTTCGTATACGCTATCCGTGCTCATGTACGTAAATAATTATCGTCGAAATAATAATTTTTTCCATAAATAAAAATTAAAAATAAAACATTTTATTTGAAATCCATCTTCTTATAATAAAAAATTATTATCTGAAATTAAATTTTTGAAAAATGAATTTGGAAATTGTCGCATTTAGAAGTTAACTGAATTGGAAAATATCACATCTGAAGAATTTGTGATATAAGATATAACTTTGTAAAAGCCATGTATCGTATTAGAATCGTGACATATTTCTCAAAAATAATATTGCAATGTATTGCAAAACTGCTCTCTGCTGAACGCAATCAGTGATAATAAGTGTGTGATAATTTTTATGATATAAGTTTACATGTATATACATTCAAGAATATGATAAATGAACAATATATTCATATAGCAGTTTTACATTCAGTCAGTTGTTTCGCTATAATCATATCTGTGCAATTTGTTAAATTGTTATTATATTAGAATATAAAGCAAAGTTCATCTTTGAAAATAACTATTAATCCGCTTAATGTTATCGGACTTTAAGTTTCTGTAAGTTCAATATATCTAACTCAGGAATACTAGTAACTGAAACAGAAATAGAATTAAAATCAAATTATTGCTGGATATAGCATTTTTCATTATAATGAATTGAAAAGTAACAAAAGGAATCTGTCTTGATTATCAAAAATCTGATAAATTACATAATTTTGAAATAATGAAGATGATGAAGAAACATGGAATGAAGACAATTTTAATTCTCATCCTCAAATGTTCAAATGATGACGCAGACTTTGACAGTTCTTATAAAAGACGAGCTGTTGAATATTGGAAATGAGACAATAAGGAAAACAATAACAACAAAAAAAGAAATCATCCTCTAAATTAGTACAAAATAAATGTAGAAGAGTTTCATCTGAACATCAATTAAAACGTTGGGAAAAATAATTACAATCAGGTGGAAATCGTATATTATCTTACATCTCTAAATTTACGCATGATAAATTTACTACAGCTGTTGGATCAGGATTCATAGTTCAATCTAAAAAGGCTTTACAAGAAGAAATAGAAAATTTAAATCCTGTATTTAAAGCATTTCATGGTTGGGTATCAAGATTCAAGAAATCTCACTAAATTATTTCAAGAAAAATTATAAAATTTGTAACTAAAAAAGCAATAGAAAATTTAATTTGCAAAAAACAGCCAATGATTTTCTGAAAACAGTGAAACTACTTATCGATCAGTTTGGATCAGAAAATGTTTTTAATTCTGATCAAAGTGGTTTTCAATTGGAAATTTATTCTGGAAGATCATTATCTTATTAAAGAGTAAAAAAAGTAGAGCGTGTCGTCCAAAATCTATATCATCCTCACACACTCATGCACAATAAATAATATGTGAAATGGAAATTTACTGTCACCTTTATTCAGTGTTTTAAAAGAAGCCAATAATAGATTTGGATCAAGAGTACAAGAAATTTTGTTTACCAATAAATGTTGTCATAAAAGCGTTGACATCTAATAAAATGACTTCAGGTAATTAAATAAATTTCCTTTTATAACTCATTCCTATGATATATTTTATATTTTATTTAAGAATCTAATAACAGTCACACAAAAGTTATTAATTTAACATTTATATTTCTTACAGATCATTTTAAAATGACTTCAGGTAATTAAATAAATTTCCTTTCATAACAGATTTTCAGATACTGTTCTACTATTAAAATATAAATTGCATAAACGAAATAATGTAATTTCTATGACATTCCTATGATATACAATATTTTATATTTTTTATTTTATTTAAGAATCTAATAACACAGTTATACAAAAATTATTAATTTAATATTTATATTTCTTACAGATCATTTTAAAATGGTGGTTAGAAGAAGCTTATTTTGCTTCTAATAGCGTTCTTCTTATCGATTCATGGACTGGACATTATCCCAATATCATTTCAGATTGACATCTGCAGGAAAACATATTACTACTATGATTATACTAAAAGGCACTACAGAGAAAATACAACCATTATATGTTCACGGATTCAAAATTTGGAAAAATTTTGCTAAAAGGTTTTTAGATATTATTATTTAGATATTTTATTATTGGAAAGTAATATAAATTTGCATGAACAAAATAATATAATAAAAATGTAATCTCTGATACACAATTAATTGTCATCCCCGATATCACACGTACTATTCGTACTATTCATAGTTTAAAAGTGGTTATGTAAACGAAAGACCAGAAGAATTTGAAAATCCAGTAAATTTAATTTTGAAAAAATTTCAACAACATATCGAGGGTTGCAATATAGCTGTAGTAAAATATTCATGCAAAAAATCATGTTTAAAACATTTTTTCATCATTATTATAATGAGTATAATGAGTAAATGATACGTGCGACATATAAATTTATTGTATAAACATTTAAAGATTATTTTATTGTAAGTACATTTAAAAATTATTATGTAAACGACAAATAAGATATTAAAGTTTATACTAAAAATAACTTTAAGAGAATAATCTTAAGACATTATAAAGAAATAATGTACAGAGATGAATAAAGAATAAAAGTTTTACTTACTTTAAAGAGAAGTAATAAAAATTAAATAATTTTTAATGTTATTTACAATCTGTAATACTAAAAATATTAATTACGTTAATTTCCTTATTCATCGATTTATATATCTTATTATTTCAACGACAATCACTTACGCACATGAGCCCGGATAGTGTATACGGAGAAAGCGTTTATAATGAATTCTGGAAAATGATATGTTTTCAGTAAACATCAATTAACAATAATATATAACAGTGATATTATAATTTCCCACTCAATAATATGAGTACAATATAATACATGTATTATATTTCATTTATATTGTTTAATGAGAAATTAACATTGTTGTTATATTATTGTTTACTGGGTTGTAATATAACTTTATTATACATAGTTGAAGTCAGAAAAAATAATCTTTAATTCGATAAAAAAAATTGTTTAATTTGAAAAAAATAGATAATGAGTATATTTTGTTAAACAAAAAAAAAATAAAAATTTTTTCCACAGCTTTAAAGTCCTACTTTTGAAATCAACTGTTGCTTAAAAATTTTTGTCCCATCTTTTATATTTCCGATGATATTCAGTTCGAAAGAAAAATACCGTTTTTTTTATAGATCAATCAATAATGTTTAATTATTTGGCAAGCAAACCTAACCGCTTTGCCAATTTGAACTTGTCCAATATAAACTATATACTTTCTGAATTCTTTCTTTTTCCTTTTTTTTTTTTTTTGCTACAACATAATATGCAATAAAATATATTACAATAAAATTACTTATACAGTTTTTAGATAATCTGGCAATAAACAAAAATTGCTTGTAGAGGCCCTTCCACCCCCGTCGATTCTAATCGACAGTCCTCTTTGAACTATGGGAATCAAAATGATGCATTAAAGATCATTATCATTACGAATTGGTAATAACATTACAATTTTTTACAACGGTAATAAAGACTAAAGTTGGGAAAGTCATTTTTGAAAAGTAATTTGTTATTAAATTATACGTATTATTTATTGAAAAATATATAACTCGTTATTTTATTAATAAAAAATAATGCACTACTAATACATAATTCATTACTCGTCACATATACGATTAATATAACGAGTTACTTTTCAAAAATTCTGACGTTATAATTACTGTCATAAAAAATTGCAACGTAATTACTAAATCATTATTACAAAAGTAACAGTAATGCAAGAATATTCTAATTCTACTTTGGACACATACGTTTTCATTTTTTAATTTAACATTTTTCATTCGTACAATTTATTTTGTATAATACTTTCTTTTATATTAAAATACAATGCACTCCGTATAAGTTATAATTTAAAAAATAAAATATAAAATTACAAATATATAATAGTTTAGTTAAGTCTTTATAAGGTTACTTTACCGCATTTACTGAATACCGCATTTATCGAATATCATTATAATTATTATACATTCTATCTAAGATTTTACAATTTCCTTTATAAAAATGAAGTAATATTTTTTTAATTAATTTAAATTAATTTAAATTCAAATTTTATTTGATAAAAGCGGACCAATCTTATAGAAGCCCTCCCCGCCGAATCCGATCTAGAAAAATTATACATATAAAATTACAATATATAATAATAATAGTACAATATATAATAGTTTATCAAGTCATTTTATAAGGCTATTCTGTTTTTATCGAATATCATTACAATATCATTACATGCATTCTATCTAAATTATATTTTATAATTTCTTTTATAAATAAAGCAATATCTTGAGATAAAAATTTCATCTGCTAAAAGCGGATTAACTTTGTAGAAGCTCTCCAGCACTCCCGCCGATTTCGATTTGGTGATCCTCTTTTCTTTAGATCTGAAACACAAGAGGTACAATAACCCTTTTATAAAAATTTCCAATTCACCGAATATTCTTCTCACAATCGACTATGATTATTCAGTTTCTTAAGACTTATTGCACTTATTGTATTTCAGGATTTACACATCATACTGCTCTAAAATAAAGTTTGAAAAATCGGGATAACTTTGACAGAAATTTTGACAATGCTCAAATAACGCGCATATCAAAATCTAAACATAAAAAATCATAAAAACAATTTTGGATACTTTCTTAGGCATTTTTCAAAATTTGAGTAAATGATATTTCGATTAAACTAAAATTACTTCATTTTACGATTTTTTTCACATTTTTGTTATTTATATTACATATTCTATATATAATTTCTTTTACATTACATATAACATAATATAAAAGAATTATATTATAACATTGATATAACATAATATACAACAAGAATACATGTAAAATATCTTTGTGATGTAAAATTGCATACAAAATGTTCGGAATGCGTATAATAAAACAATTTTATATTTTATGTGATGCAATGTGAAATATGTGAATATGATCGACAAATGACTATTACGTTTCTTATTAATCGATAGCAATAAAGTATATAACTTAATTTAATTTATATAAGTAACCAAGACCAAAAAAAGAATGTTAATAAATTTATTATATATATCTTTCAACTAAAAAGAATGTCAGTTATTATTGACATTTTACCGAAATTATTTTCACAAGATTCAAACAAAATGCACAAACAAAAAATAAGCAAAGCTTTAGTGTACGACAATGATCAAATAAAAAAATATGTGACAAATAATCTCATCAATTCTAGTACACAATTCTAATAAATAATTTTTATTCCCGTTTCAAAGCTCATATAATTATATTTATTATTATTTCTCTACACGATAATATATATCAAAAGATATATATTAGATAAGATTTTGCAATATCGCATCTATTTTAATAATATAATCAAATACATCAGGTAATATATTTAATCGCATCTATAAATTTTAATTCCCGTTTTACTTTATCAAAGATCGCGTTCAATAGAGGATAACCGGCAACAATTCAATCAAATCAAGTCCCTCCACTGAATAACATTTTGAGTGGTATTCGATACAAAGAAGAACGCATCTATACATGCTAGAAAATGAGTTCTACTTTATTTCGAGTTCCATGGGATTAATCCACAAAGGAAAATTAAGTGTTTCGTTGAGTATTAACAATCGTTATCTTTTATCCCACCTCTTTGCATAATGCAATTTCCAAAATTTTGATGATAATTTAATCGATATTCATCAGTTTTTTGATATATGGGAGCAAGATTTGCACAAGAAAATATATTTTTTCATTATTAAATACATCTTTTTATTTTTAAAAAACATGGATAGAATGATATCAAAAAGTGATTACAAATGATTACATTTTGAAATAATAAAATACGTACATTTTTATTATAATTTATTAAATGTGTGAGTACAAAAATTCTCAGGTATCGACTGTTCGAGGCGAATCGAATCAATAACAATAAGACATCATAATTTCATAATCAAATATTTAGTGGAATAAGATTCATGTCGTTTTTTATTTTTCTATAACATTTCAGCAAATGTAGTAAAAAAAAAAGCTTAGCTAAATATTAAATGTAACACTTAGATAATTAAAAATTATCAAAATCTTACTGATATCGGAGTACCCAATCGATTCGTCTCGAATTTATTAAGTACTACACATTTTTAGTTATGTTCATTATATCATTATAATAATTTATTGAAATAAGTATAAATTTTTTTGAAAAAATTTATTAGATGAATAAGAATTAAAAATTCCTTACATAATATATACACTACGTATTTTATTATATAAAACAACCTAAAATATTTAAAAATTAAATAAATGTTCTGGAATATGTAAAAATTAATTAATATTCTGGAATAGAGGGATGTCCAGTTCCTAAAAATAATTTAAAAAAAAAATTAAAATTAAAGATTAAAATAAAAAAAATATATTCATTTATAATCATATTTTTTTCTCAAAGAAATCGTCAAACTTGTGATTTTAGTTTATTTAATGTAATTCATTCTTTTTTATAACAATTGCTATATTCAATCCGCTAAATCTTTTTATTGTCAAAGCAACATTAATATTGTATTAATTAATGGAAGAATATTTAAATAAAGTATAAACTCTTCTCTTAAGAAATTATTTAATTAATTTCGCGATTCAATTTAAAAAAACATTAATTAAACTACATTGTTGCTTTTGTTAACTTGTCGAAATCACAGCTCCTAGGGATTTTAAAAAAGAATCAAGATTAATTTCAGTCCTGTAACGAAAATCTTCAGATTCATCGAGGCACTGAACTAGATATTTCGGATGGATTCCATAGAAAATGACGAATGTTGTCTTTCCATGTTAAAAATCACTACGATTCGATTCGTCGGTACAAAATTTACTAATCCACTTAACACAAGGGCAGCTTCACT